CCATATAGATCAACGGAATTCAGCCTTTCAAAGTTTTTCACGCTCTTGATTATTTATCTTACTTTTATACTTGGATAGCAAATACAATTTACAAGATTTAAGGTGGTTATTTTATTCTTGCTTTAAAACAGGTATATATCCGTGAATAAACCTATATACGACGTATATAAAAAGCACAAAGAAAATAACTTTTATATGGATACCCACTTTTGCGCCAGCCCGGGTTGAACTCTCGACCTACATGTGTACAGAATCTTTCTCCTAGCAGTAAGGAAGTCAAAAAACTTGCAGTGAGACACAAAAACCTTCATAAAAACTGTGGGTTACATCTCGGTACAGGGCAAAAAGCTTGTATTCGTTATCGTCAGATGTCTACATGTTTTTCCATTCTGGAGTAAAAAGTTATATATTTTGTCAAGTATATGAAAATGGCCTAATAATTAACCCGAATGTAGTTATTAATTTGAGAATACGGGATATTCTAAACCTTGGATTGAGATTTCCTAACTGCCGTGTAGTTGCTAATTAGTGGATCATATTTTATTTCGAGAGACTGCACTTTCTGAGGGGCGGAATAATGAAAGTTGGAATATTAGGCATACTGCTACATATAAATTGGTGATAAATGGCCTTTATGAATGATCTCTTTTACAGTCAACACTTTAACGAATTCTAGATGATATCGATGTTTTTATGAGATAGCATTTACCATTACAAACGCCAATGAAACAGGAGCATGGGCAATCTAAAGTTCATTTGTAGAAGGGAAAGGGAGCAAATACCATGGTTAAATCAATTAATAGAAAAAGCCAAATAAATAATTTTAGGGCGATGAAGCGTGCGCAACTCAAAGCGTCTCCAACAAGATACATTTTTTTGTCACCCGTTAAAACAGACGCGTCTCAGGACATATTATCGCCGCGCGTACCTAATCTGTGGGCGACTATGTTGTTACATATTGTCAAATGATACATTTAGTTGTACAGGGCAAATGTTCGTGAACGTTCGAGATCTTGCAAAACAAAACATGCCAGAAAAATTTATCGTGCCATTGAACTTTTAATTTCAAATGCCATTTAATATAATTTGTTGATTTGTTGATTTGTTCATAAAATGAAAACTCTAACCAATCTCTAATCACTCACCAGGAAGCAAAGGTGTCGGGAACCAGGCTAACGCCATTACACCATTACCATAGACTCAAATGAAACATAAAAAAGGAAAAATGAATGTTCTTGCAAATGACTTGGGCAATCTGCAGCTATACGAAACGTACGTTTTACATTTCAAATTTTATCTGGAAACATTAAGGCAAACCTTTTCACTCTTAGAGTTCATTTATTTATCTTCAGAGGGGTCCAAAATTTTCCGTTATTTCCTCATTGTGCATTGACGCCTTTTGGGATGTGCTAAAACTCCAAAAAGCAGACATTCTAAGTTCAATTTGAACTCTAAATTTCCATTAAAATGATGAAATTCTTCACAAAAATACGAAAGCCCAGAAGGCTCATTCGAGATTCGAGTTTCCAAATACGAGATTCGAAATTCGAGATTCAAAATTCGAAATTCAAGATTCAAAATTCGAGTTTCGAGATTCAAGATCCAAACGAACCAATCAAAAGCGGGTTCAAGATTTGATTACTTCCCTTTATTATGTTTTTACTATCAAGAAATAGTTCAATATAATTATATCAAATGGGTCATTTGATTAAATTACAATGCAAGAAAAAGTGTTATATATATTAGAAGGAAATTTAAATAATTAATGGAATTTTGATCAGCAAAAAATATTTTAATTTATATTATAGATTCTTAAATATTAAATAGATTTCATATATCAGGAGTATATACATTTTTGAATTGTCTACTAAGCGTCATTTTTATGAATTTCTTCTGTTAGGAAAACTACAGGTACTTGTGGGCGGGACCCCCCCCCCCCCCCCCCCCCCGCACACTCTCTTTATATTCAACCCAAGGGCTTACTGGAAATTTTTTTCACAAGATATATTTATTTAACTTATTCATCATGTATACAATAACAAAAAAATGTAAAATCCCCAGAATATTCGCTCAACATCCCCCCAAATACCCACAAATCATTATAAGAGAAAGATATGCCACTCTAGTCTGTTTACGTTGTACCCCCTCTGGTATTAAATGCATTTATTTTGTTTTAACTTTAAAAAGTTAAAACAAAATAAATGCATTTAAGAGGCAGTCCACCGAAAAACCAGGCAGTATTATACTGATAGGCGGCACATCGAATGTGAGGAATATTTGATATTTTATTGAAAACAACATCAATGTAGTCCAAATGGAATAATGTAATCGAAGAATTTGTTTGAAAATTGCCTATTTTGTAAAATATCCTTTTCTTTCATTTAAAAATGTCGATTCACACTGCAGGCGCAGATTCAGAAATTTTTCAAAGGGGGGGGGGGGGGTGAAGTATTTTTCAAAAGCCGGGGTTGAAGGCGAAAACAGTTAAAACATACGTTGTACACATACATGTAGTTAAATAACTCAATAGAATATCGATACAGGGTGGAGTATGGTTTTTGAAAGTGGGACGTTGATCAATCTGGGAAAAAGTACTTGTATACATTACCAGAAAGTTTTTGAAAAAGAAAGGGAAATAAATCTCCGAACCTGAAAATCCTATTTTGTAAAGGGAGGGTTTTTATTTTGTTTTTACAACCGAATTTCTTTATATAATACAACATTAGCCTTTCACCTTACATTTCCTATAGTAAAAACACAACGAAAAAATTGGAACTTTCTTATTTCTCTTTCTCTTAAATTGCAAATCCAAAAGGGGGGGGGGGGGTGCAACCCCCGTAACCCCCCCTCTGGATCCGCCACTGCAGTCTCTAAATATACAATGTATTTCTGTCTTAGTCCATGCTATCAGACTGACTCTGCATCACGTAATAATCCCACATTTTCTCCGTAAACAGCATTCTTTCTTGTAAAGTGGGGTAATAAATTGTGTTGTTTTTTTTGGTTTGGTTTTATTTTTTTGGTTGAGCGATTATTCTGGGGGTTTTACGCCAGCAATTTTTTCGTATTGTAAGGTTACACACAACAGAGAAATAAGCCCTGGGGTTCAATATCAAGGGGATGGGGGTGGGGTCGGGGGTCTTGTCCACACGTACCTGTGTTTTTCTAAAAATTAAGACAAGAAACATAAATTATATTGACGCAAGCGTCAAAAATCGGCCGCAAACCAATTAATTGTTCCTTTTATGGTCCCTCTAGATCCGCCACTACATTTCTTCTCTTTGAGTTGTAGCGGGAAAATTCTTGGCACATTGTAAAACGTGCATTATCCTCGTCTGCTAAGGGCCAAATCTTGTAATATTCTGTAGCCTGCTAAGTCTTTTAATGAATTAACATTTAAACATATGTTTCAAAATGTTTATATATGTACATATGTACACGTCATTTTAAAATAAATACGTACAACAAATCCCGTTTGAATGGAGAAAGTAAAATTGCGTAATATACATAACGCGGTCTTTGCTTTAGACTACGCCCAACACATGTCCTAATTTTCTCCGCACCTCAAACATGTCTAAGTTCATAAATAGGATTGGATGAAATATTTACCTCATTCTTCATAAGAAATTTTAATTTTATGTTTATGATGCGTTCTTCTTTAACCTTTAGATGCTCTTTTTAATATACTACTTATATTAATGTTAAATATTTTTTATTTAAATTGTTTTCACACCGCAAAAACGCACAGCGACTTCGAACTTTCTTATCATAGAGCCGACCGCCTCCTGGCCGGTAATTAGTTGACGATACAAAAATATAATACTTCTGATATATGTAATCTGTTTAATATTTAAGAATCTATAATATAAATTGATATATTTTTTGCTGATCAAAAATCCATTAATTATTTAGATTTACGTCTAATATATATAACACTTTTTCTTGCATTGTAATTTAATCAAATGACCCATTTGATATAATTATATTGAATTATTTCTTGATAGTAAGAACATAATAAAGGGGAGTAATCAAATGTTGAACTCGCTTTTGATTGGTTCGTTTGGATATTGAATCTCGAAACTCGAATTTTGAATCTCGAATTTCGAATTTTGAATCTCGAATTTCGAATCTCGTATTTGGAAACTCGAATCTCGAATGAGCCTTCTGGGCTTTCGTACAAAAAGGCTTAAGTTAAGGATACTTTCATAGTCAACAATCAAGCCAAATTTTTATTTACTTTCAACAATAAATTGGGGACAATTGTCAAAATTCTTCAACTTTTGGAAGTTTAATACACTTTTATATATTTCATGTTTCGGACTTTATGGAATTAGATCACGTGAGTAGGCCGTATGAATATCCCCACATAAGTTTAAATACGACACTTCATTTCTTCAACAAATTCATCATTAATACTTCATCATTTAATATGCTATTTATTTGTGATTTAATACCCCTTATAGTAGCAATGTATATTCTTAATGATAGGAATGTGTTCATGAAATATGTGGAAATAAAGAACAGCTTACAAGCAAGTCCATTAAACAATGCAAATTATGGAGCAGGGAAAACACGGACATCAAAAACATAAGAGGAAGAAAGTGAGCATCCCTTGCCAACTGATCACAACTACAATTCATCCAGTCAACAAGGAAAGTTTACTCCTCCCAGGCACCTGATCCCACCTCTAGAAAGTCTAGGGGTGCGTGTTTGATGCTCTTTTCTCATATTTGCATTGTACGCCCAAATTTGCAGCCCTTCACCGGCAATGGTGACGTCTCCATATCAGTGAAATATTCTGGAGAGGGACGTTAAACAGTATACAATCAATCATACAATCATATTTGCATTGTTTATAAATATTTTGAGCATCATTGAAGAGACATAATTTGTCGAAATGCGCATTTGGTGTATCGACATTGGTACCTAATATGATTTACACGTCACTTTTATCATTCCTTATGTTATACACTTTACATATTACGTAAATAGTTATTTATATTTGTTTAAGTTAACGCTGATCACATGGTCCTGTCTTTTCACTATATGATATGCATGTTCTGCGGCACTTGTCCTATGAAACGTCTACTGCTGTGATCAGAAGGAAAAGTCATCTAAGGTAAGAAAGTGTTGAGTAACAATTTCATTATCAATTTAACATGTAGAACATGGGTAACCTAATTTGCAGGATAACAATTCCTTTTTTATGTTACATAAAAGTCTTCAGCATTTTTAATTTTGAGAAAAAATGTTTTTATTCTTGATGTATGTTCAGTTGTTAACTCTTCTTTATCTATGAAATCACTCAACAAATTATGATGGATTTACTTATTTATTACATTTTAAGCATCATTATGTGTTGTTCTTTCAAATCAAGTTTTTAATTAATACTGATAATCTTTATGTTAAGGCTCATTTTGTGAGAAAATAAATATTATATAAGAAAGCGATTATTATAATTAAATGGGTAGGCTTTTTTATATATTTTTTGGTATTTAATCAACCCGACTGAAAAACTGTTTTTGAGTTTTGATTGTAACGAGTTTGATTTATAGTACACAGGGAAAAGCGGTTGACAAAAAAGAACAATTTTCAATGGGTCTAATCTGGGTTTCCAGTTACTGTTTTAATTTTCAATCTTCTTTTTAAGCAACAAAAATATTTACAAAAGTACAGTAGGTAGTTCTGAACTTCTTGTTAAGCAATTTTTCTGCCAATTATATACCACGAAGACTAATTAACTTTACAGTGCATACTGCACGGAAACTTCTTTTAAGAGGTTTAATTTGTTTCTGCTTCAATTTAAATGTGAAAACAATTTTTCTCCAGAGACCTGTAAATCAATCTTTGAAAATTTTTAATATAACACAGTACTTTTTGCACATTTTTGGATCTCAACTAGAAAAAAAAATTATTCAATCATATAATCATGAAATATAGAGATAACATATAGTAATTATTTCAATGTCCTTTGAAACAATACAAATCGAAAGCACGAAAGCCCAAAAATATCAGGTGGAATCAGGTGCCAAGGAGGAGTGAGCATCCACCGCTAACCGGTCAAACCCGTATTGTACTCCTTCATCGTAATGATCGAAAAAACGGGAAAATCATATGACAACTCAGTGTTTGAGGAAAACACATAACAATATGAAAAGAAATATCAGTCAGAATTTGATTAATAATAGGTTGTATTGTATTTGTTGACGAGATCAGTGTATTGGCCATAAAATTGTGAAATTATGACTACAGTCTCTGTTGGAATCCTTGTTTCATCGACTGTTTTTGCCTCTTTTTACAAAAAAAAAAATGTTCGTACGAAGAATACAATCTTTCGTAATAATTTAACCGAACTGAGTCTATAAACCCTATATGCAGGTGATAAAGATATGTTGCTACATAATTAAGGGGAAGCTGACGATTGAAAAGTTGAGATATTTTAATATTTATTCTAGAATACTTGTGTGTACAACCAGAAATAATTTTGTAAACAACAAGGTAAATATATTTACAAGTTTCACTCGAAGAGCAAATACGGACCTCTACATCTTTAAAGGTGAAGTCAGGTGCCATTGAGTATTAAGCATCCCCTGCGGTCGATCACACTGGTAATGGGTTCCGTGTATTTACGTAAAACATCACCTATTAGCATCTGACAAACTGTTTAATACACGGCAGGTGTGACCGATCTGCAGGGGATGCTAACTCCTCCATGGCACCTGATCCTATCTCCGATAATTTGGAGGTCCGTGTTTGCTATGCTCCTATTTTGTAAAGTTTAATAGATATTTAAGCTCGAATAGTGTTTGTTATAATTATTCCCACATAGCTTATGCCTTCAACACGATATCAAGATATATCGACGACGTATTGTCAAGTAACAATGGAAATTTCCAGTCCTACGTCGATACGATATATCCTGGTGAGCTTAAAATAAAAGATCCACAGAGTCTGGCACACTGTTTCCTATTTGGATAATTTTCTTGAAGAAGACGTTAATGGTAATCTAACAACCAAGCTAAAATAAACGTGATGACTTTATTTTTTCTATCGTCAACTTCCCTTAATTATGCAACAATATACCCTCATCACCTACATATGGAGTATATATATATATCTCAGTTTATTCGATACGCAAGAGCATGCTCTGCGTATAAACAAATTCTAAAACAAGGTAAATTATTGACAAGCAAGTTGATGAAACAAGAATATCAGCAGTCTAGCTTAAATTCATCATTCCGTAAGTTCTATGGTCGATACTATGACCTTGTCAGCAAATACAATTTATCATTGAGTCAAATGCTGACTGACGTTTTTCATACTAATTGTTAGTCCATTATTTATACACTGAATTGACGACGGATTTTTCCGTTATTTCTCGATCATGACAAGGGGCACACGGCGGCTGTGACCCGCCGTGTGATCAGCAGGGGATGCTCACTCCTCATGGCACCTAAACCAACGTCTGATGTTACGGAGGTCCGTGTTTGCTCTGCTCTTATTTTGTATTGTTTTATGGACTTTGATGTTGTATACTGTTTGTTATCTCCATATCCTTCTTGATTTAGCTAAAGAATCAATTTTTCTCACAAAAAAATTCATTGACACTATTAAATGCCTTAAATAACATCATTTTATGGCTACACAGTATTTTGTCTTGTGCGTTTTTGCATTTAGGAACGTAGGTTTTTGAACGAAGACTTAACACTTAACAGGGAAAAACGGAATGCCCCTAAACTTCCTTTAACATGTTTACGGAAAGGCCTGAACAGTCATTTCGGTGCATTTACAACACTGTTTAAAATCCAAAGAAATATAGCATAAATCAGAATAAACTTAATTAAAAATTTTCTTAGATATATTAAGTAAGTTGTTTTCTTAAATGTAGTTGTTGGCCATTACTGATCTACATGAGTGCAGAAATGAACGACAATAATCCAAAGAGACAAGATCTAAGTGAGGTAAACTGTGTTTTATTTACTGAGATTTTTTTTTGGATTTTTTTTATCTTTATAAACTCGAGAGGAAAAAAGAAAATGTGTGGTTAACTTATTTTATTTATTTAAGATTAATATACTATTGACAGGTAAATAATGATATGTTCCATGATTGACATTATTATTTCATACAATGCATCTATCTGATTTTAACATTAAAATCACGGATTATGCTAATAGTTGACATAAACAACCACAGAAAGTTATGGGGATGCAAAAATGATTCGTAAATTTCATATAGTGTACATAGGCGTCGAAACCGGTGTAGACTTAGCCCCCCCCCCCACTTTTTTTTTCCAAATATACACTTAGTATAGACATTGAACATTGTTTCGTAGGTTTAGCTCCCCACTTACCACCGACACGTCGGAGTATAGGTAATAAATGGAGAAAAAGGTGTAGTTTGGAAAAAATATTTGGTAGTGAAGTTAGATACCCCCCCCCCCCCACCCCTCGAAATAGGATTTTCGTGTTTGGTAAATTTTCCTTTTTTTTATTTGAGCTTGTCAGGTTTTTTAAGAAGGTATACTTTTTTTTATTTACACTAAGCCCACTCCCACTTTCAATTTGCTTCCGACGCCAATGGTGTATGACTACCATTCGCATACCTACATTGCATTGAACGAAACAGGTAATAACGAAATGCCTAAGGGATGCCCCCCCCCCCCCCATATGAGCAATAAAATTCGACAAAAAGCATTTAATGTACAAGTGGTTGACTCATGATGTAGATATCGTTTCAATTCATGATTAATATCATAGTATGTTCTACATGTATGAGCAATTTCACTATATAGTCGCTAGCAATGTGTGTGGTGCGCAACCGTGCGTTGTCTTGTTACAGAAGGGTGTAACGCTGGTTGCTATGAATGAAAGGAATGAAGTACAATCTCGCCGAGGTAGCTTTAAACCATCGCCACCATCAACAATGATTTTTTTTCATGTGTTGTAGTTCTAACCCAGCCAATAATGATCCCACGGTCTAATCAGGGACGCTGAATAACGCATGAACGCATGCATCAATGTACACGAGACAGTAGGCCCGAACACGACCGTCACAGACGTCAAGGGATTTTGATTCGTCCAAAATATGAAGCGCCAATTGTAGTCTATTACATAAGTGTGACGTCTTTATAAATATCTTGCGGACGCGACGTCACACGCGGGCATCCTGATGGTGGGCGGTTCAGAACGGCGTCTTTTGCTGATACCGTCTCCATAAATGTTTACAGCGTCAATATATAATCCATACCGCCTTGTCACATTTGAGTAGCTTAGTTTTCAGCCTCCCAATAACGGACATATCATTTTCAGTTGTGCAATACACACATAATTAAACATATCTCGAAAAATCTTATTCTTCCTGATTTTGTACATTGAATTCTTTTTATGATTGCAATAAATCCTAATTAATTGCTTACTACATATCTTTTAGACTCAAAACTATGAATAAAAGGATTGAACACAGAATTTTAAGCGTTTTATAACCATCAAAGCGAATCGAGCATATATAACAAACTGAGTTCTCATAGTTTATCATATTTTATATATTGAACTATAATTTACAGCTTAAAAAAGAAATCAAGAAAAAATTTAATGTTTTTCTACTAGCATTTCATTTACATTATTATGCATTTCTCTGGTTTCTATGTGGCAGGAAAAACAACTTGAAAGAGTGTTGTGTGGAAAGCAGATGTTTGAAAAAGCATCAGAAGTGACGAATACTCTAAAGAAAAAGAAAAAAATTGAAGAGGATGAGGAGCACCATAATACATTTTCAAGCGTATGACGCTCTATTTAGAGAGATTAATTTAAAAAGAACTCATTCAGGCCAAAAAGAACTTATTCAGACCACATCCTATATTAAACGTTAAACCCCTGTTACACCGGGGCTGCGTCCTCACAGCGACTGCACGGCGTCCTCAAAAAATGCAAAACACCGAGGTGATCGCAGTAGAGTCTCCTACAGCGCCGTGACAACGCGGCGAGATCTCCACTGAACGCCGTAGGGTCGCGTAGGGTCTTCTAGAACGCCAGAACGGTGATCACTTTGGGCATGCTCAAAGTATGCGCCGTGTGATCGCAGTCTGATAAGAACGCAGTAGAAACGTAGTATGATTGCCTTAGCAACGCGGTGAGATCTCCAACAACGTAGTGGGAGCTCCGTAGGAACGCCTTGAAGACGCACATGATCGCGGCACGAACGCAGTGATAGTAAACTGCGCTTCCACGGAGACCTCACGTTTCTATCGCGTTTTTACGGCGCTTCTAATGAGATTTTTCGTCTTGTGATTTTTTTCGACTACGATTACTCGGACACAGCACGGAGTTGTCACTGCGTTTATTGCGCTCCCATGTCGTTTCTACAGCGTCCGTTTGCGATAACAATGCACTTTCACGGCGTTGTTAGAGAGTTGTCAGCCAGCTCACAAAACAAGAGCAATGCGATCATATTTGATCAGCAATATTTCCAACGTATTTATTGCACTAAGAGTATTTAAGTGAAAAAAAAAATTGGAAGATAAAATTACACCAGAACTTGATCTGTTGTTTCAATTGTTTCAATTTTTTGTAGAAAACTTTTCAGTGTGTTTATTTTTTTTTTTACATTCACAATAAAATCAAAGAAAATCTAACAAACATCTGAACCAATAAAATTGAAAAAAGGAGTTTAATCATAAAACTATTGATAATTTAGTACTAAATTATTTAAATAGAACATTTTTTAATCATTAAGAATATTTCTTGGCATGATTAGAAGTCTTTTCATCGTGTAACTTGAATCTTTAAACAAAAATGTTTTACATTCCTTCTGAATATATTTATATATCAATGAGTATAGAACGCATTGTGAACGCATTGTGAACGTATTGTGAACGCAGTGTGAACGCCGTAAACATGAGATGAACACTCCTAACGCGCCGTGAAAATTCCGCGGAAGCGCAGTCAATCGCCGACAGATCTCCATGGGACCGTTGAATCGCGTCCGTCGCCGCATCTTCATTTTGTGAAAATTTTTACAGAAATTTGTGCAATTTTCCTGCGATTCCACGCGATTTTCAAAATTGAACAACGCTGTAATGACTCCGTTTGAACGCAGCTTGGTGTGACAGGGCCTTTAGACACAAATATCCGCTGATAATTCATACTGGTCAAGGACGAATAAACTGAAAATGATAAATTATGGAAACAAACAATAAAACAAAAAGGAACAAAGCTGACTTATCATATAAAAACATTAGTCAAGGTGAGCTGTGAGTAACAGGCTTCAGGGCCACCAACCTATAAAAATCTCAGCTGAAATCTCAGCCTCAAATCTTAGATTTCTACCTCATCTGAGATTTTCCAAAAACACCGTGCCATCAACATTTCTAAGATTGGTCTCACGTGAGCTGAAATTTGAGAAAACCTCAGCATTCGTGGCCCCGAAGAAAGATGTACTAATAATTAATAATATAAATTGCTTTGGAAATAATTAATTAATAAATAATTAATTTCTGTGTATAACACACTTTAGACACTAAACTGTTTTTCTCTCATTTTTCGATAATGCTTGAAAGTGAAAATATTTTACACCTTATCTACGACTTCATTTCACCCCTTACCTTCGACTTATTAATTCCAATCAAACTATCCCCTGCCATCCTTATTTTATTTTAATTTTAGTAGGTCGTTCACTTATCGTTTCGTACCGATATTTTAATGCATGTATCATAAACCGAATCTTCGAAGAAGTTATCGGTATGTAACGGTATATCGTCCAAACCCTAATATTTTCTAAGGATTTTTCCCGTTTACCCGATCATGAAAAAGAACACATGACAGATGTGCCTAGTAGATACAGGGGATGTTCACTCCTCCAAAGCAGTCAATCCCATCTCTGCTTTTAAGGATATGTTTGCTCTGGTTACAATTTGTATTGCCTAATTGAACCTTGAGCATGATTATCTTAAAAATTGTTGCCAACAAATTATATCTGCATGACACCGATCTTTGAAATATTAAAAGGGAAACTATTTTAAGAAAAGTTTTAAAAATCAATTTCATCATCATTTTATTTCAAGGAAAAAGCAATGGACGAAGATGAGCTTGTGAAACAGTATGTAACTAAACTTAGCATTTTAACTTTTATTGACTCATTTAAAGTCTTATTTTTGTAAATCAATAATTATTTTCTCATGATCATTTTCTTTAAATTCCTTTTTAATACGAGGGCCGTTCAATAATTACGCGGACTTGTTGCCAAGAAAAAATATTTTTGGTGACATAATTAGGTAAAATGTCACACATAGTGTAAAAGAATATTTACTTTTATGGTCTTCGAAAAATCATATCAATCATTATAAAAAATGCGAGCTTTCATTTTCTCAACATTTTCCACCAGAGCTCGAACCTGACCAGATCCTACTCAGCATAAGTATCTATGTACCATTTCTTATCAAGCTTAAAATTTATGACAAAATTATAGCATATTATTTTTTGTTTTTAACCCAAAAGCTACAAGTATTTATGAGATACAGTGTGTGAATTGGTCTCTTTCAATAACGTTCTTAACAGTCTTCCATGGTCTTTCTACCCCCTCTCGTATTGCCTTTTACAACTGTCTAAGCTTCTAAATTACAATTTGCTCTTTGTGAACAAAGGACAACTCTTGTTTACTACATGTTTTATCATGCATATTTTGGATTGTTTCTGGAGCATTGAAATAAAACTTAATTTGAAGCCCTTTCCAGTGGAAAAACTGTCTCATTTCTACACTGAAATTAAATTATAAAGAATAAAGCTTATTTCAACTTATATTATACGATATGATATAGCTTGGGACAGTTTTCGCTTTATTATAAACCGCGAAGCGTAAACTGTTCCAAATTATATTATATCGTCTAACAAAAGTTGAAATAAACTTCATTGAATTTCCTTAAATAAATGAGTAAAATTTTGTGTTCCGAATGTTCCGACAATTTTTTTTGTCGTGTTCCGTAATTTACCATCAGCGATATCAAAGCAGCGATAGCTTTAGAAGAAATTTCAAAAATCCAAAAATGTTGCCCAAAATTACGTTTAAGATATGTTTTTTTTTATTTTTCGTAAATACTGAGTAAATGATAGCAGAGTCCGCGTAATTTTTGAACTGCCCTCGTAGTATTGGGTAATGAAGTACTATTCCTTGAAACAGAGTCGTTAAAAAGTTCGTATTCTTTTTTATTTAACGTCACTAGTACATGTATATTATAACCAAATCAGATACACATATTTCAGCAACAGTTTCAAATAGCTTAATTTAAAAATTGGAATATATCTTGATATCTGTTAAGAAATGAACATATTTTATATATAATAAAAACACAATTTTTGAGCGGTAGAGACTTTTAAATCAGACGATGGATGGGCTGCAAAAACAGATCATATTTAAAAGCTTGTCAATTACATATGTAACTAGTGCTAATTGTAACGGGGACCGTTACAGATGTTACCCAAACGCTCCCCAACTCCCTTTTGTTGCCATATTCCCTGTTATCTCTATTAAATAAGAAATACTTTATGGAATTTAGACTTAATCAAGGTCTTCCAAGAAAAATACAAAATATATTTTAAAAATAGGCATTGCACGCGTGTTCATGTGCGTAACGACCATATTATCTTGTCTACACTATCTAAAATTTTAATAATATCAAAGCATTTAATCCAAAAGTATTAAAAAATGCACTCATTCGAGTGTATTGTTTATTTTACTCATTTCACGTGCACGCACGTGTAAGCACGTGCATAATGACTACACCTTCTTGTAGGAGTCCCTTATATTTATCCAAGTTCTAAATCCCATCCTGTTTGGTTGAAAAACAAGAGAGTTATAGCCATTTGAAGTTTCAGCCAATCAGATTGCAGCACACGTGCAAGCGCGTGATTTCATGAATATTTTCTATATCATATTTTAGGATATCGTAATGCATGACTATGTTTTAAATTTCAAAGCATTTCGTCAAAAAACAAAGGAGATATAGCCATTTAAAGTTTTAGCCAATCAGATTACAGCACGCGCGCATGCGCATGCTTTTATTAAAATTTTAATATATCATGCTGTAGATCTTCATAATGTAGGACCATGTTCAAAATTTCAAAAGATTATGACAAGAAACAAG